ATGCATGTTATGTTTTTGAAGCAGTAAGATAAGTTTAGGTGGGATAATAACAAAGAAAATATTGCCGGGGTCATCAATCCGTCAGTTGTGAGCTATCTGTAGCTTGATGACTCCCCAGCAGTAGTTCCCATAATCCCTGAGGACCTGTTCAATGCTGGTGGAGCGGGAGAGATGGCCACACCTTGGCCCCATCAGCTCTGCAGAGCTAGTGGGCAAGGATCAATGCTGAACCACTGACGGGCCAGGGCACCTGGTCTGTCTCCAGTTTTGTGCCATTGTCGTGATGGGGCCAAGCAAAAGTGAAAGGGAAGAAGGAACATGCATGGCTTGCTTGCCACACTTGCTGAAACTTGCTGAAACACTGGCGTGGGTGAAGGAGAACAGAGAAACATGGAGGGAGAATGAGGTTAGATGAGCTTAGATAATTATTTATTACAAACTGATGTAGAGCTCTTAGTGATTTTTTAAAAATGAAAATGTTTTTCCAAACCCGGTGGCCAGAGAATTTCAGTGGTGTTCTGGTCCTATGCATATTTACTCAGAAGTTGGGTTTAATGTAACTGTGCATAGGATTGCAGCCTTGAACACATGAAGTTACAGGGGGAGCATGTGGGGGGAGTCTGCAGGGGGGATGGAGGAGCCACTATCCTTTTCCCTGGGCCCTGCCCCTCTGGAAGTAGCTGTTCCATGCCCCTGAAGTCTTGTATATTTCAAATTCTTTCCTCCAACATTTCCCTGTGTTTATGGAAAAAAGGCTTTCCCTGGCCCTGAAGCAACAGAATGATTCTTGAAGATTTGAATCCTCATTTAACTTTTAGGCAGAAGTGTAAGCTCATCTTCTAAAATGTGGAGAGATGGGGTCCCCCAAAAATCCACCAGGGAAAGACTGCAAAACTCTCTCCAATTTATTACGTAGGGTAGCATCTACAAGAAAAAGAAAACATTAACCAATAGGATTTCCCTGTGTTTTAGACGGTCTTGAACTTTCCTTAAACCTTCAGTATTTAGCATAAACTCATTAGGAGACTGGCGAATGGAGGAAATAGTGGGATGGGTATGCTGGCAGACCTACAGTTGCCTTAGAAGATAGTTTTGCTTTTCCAGGGTCTGCCCACACGGCATTGGCAGTGGTGTTTATTGAGTCACGAGCTATCGTGGACATCCTCTTGCAATCATCAAACTGTCTGTAGTTCTCTACCTCATTTAAAGTGTCCAAGTTGGTGTATAGGGTCCCCCCCGGCACGTTTCAGCCACTGTTTCCATTTTTGCACTGCAGCCCATTGTCCTACTTCCCGTTTCTCATACTGCTGCTTGCTGGACATTGATGGTGTGGCACTGATGGGGTTTTTGGGATCAGCAATGACCTGAGCTGCAGGTAGCCCTCATTTGAATATGCTTTCCCTGTGGATAGGCTTTCCCTAGGGATAGGCTTTCCCCATGTGTCTTCCTGCAGCTTCCCTTTGGTGTAGTGGTCAAGAACAGCAGACTCTAATCTGGAGAACCGGGTCTGATTCCCTACTCTCCCCCCCCCACATGCAGCTGCTGGGTGACCTTGGGTCAGTCACAAGTTCCCTCAGAGCTATTTTCTCAAGAGCAGTTCACTGCCACAGGAGGTGGTGGCGGCTACAAGCATGGACGGCTTCAAGAGGGAATTAGATAAACATAATGGAGCAGAGGTCCATCAGTGGCTATTAGCCACAAGGTATAGATAGGAACTCTCGGTCTGGGGCAAGTGATGCACTGTATTCTTGGTGCTTGGGAGGGGGCAACAGTGGGAGGGCTTCTAGTGTCCTGGCCCCACTGCTGGACCTCCTGATGGCACCTGGTATTTTTGGCCACTGTGTGACAGAGTGTTGGGCTGGATGAGCCACTGGCCTGATCCAGCATTGGCTTCTCTTATGTTCTTATGTTCTTAGGGTGCCTGTTGTGGGGAAAGGAAGGGAAGGAGACTGTAAGGTGCTTTGAGACTCCGAGTGAAGGGTGGGGTATAAATCCAGTCTCTTCTCATCTTCCAATCAAGCAACTGACCTTCAGAATCTGTACAGAAGAGAGGAATAAATCTGGTCATTGTTTGAATTAGTATTCAAAATTAGTGATAGTATTCAAAATGCTATCCAGAGCTGGATGATTTGTAAATAGTTAACAGGGTTGCTTACTGTAGGAATAATTGTGAATGGTTTGTTAGTAGTGGTAACTTTGTAAAATGGTGCAGGGAGGTGACAGGCAACATGTGATATTGGGGTACAGCCAAGCATCCAGTTCCAAGGAGTTAATATCTATTTATTTACTTACTTCATTGATAGCCCACCTTTGCCACTGAGATGCAAGGCAGGTGGCACAAGTATTCAAAAGATAAGGCAGTGATTTCTAGGGATGGGCACAGACCAGGAAAATGTGGTTCGGTTTGTGGCATGCCCGGTTCATGAATCACAAATCATCAGGAACTTTTAGGGGCCAAACGAACTGGTTCAGTTTGTGACCCAATGGAACAGCCCACCAGTGTGCTAGAGATACCAAACTCACAGGGGATCTCTGGCTAACTCTCCTCTACCTGCCCTCCAGGTTGGTGAGGATTGGCTTGACGGGGTCCAAGTTATGCTCCCCCAAAGAAGGGGCCCCCAGGAAAGTACTTTCTGGGGAAATGACAGGCAGTTATTTCCTCAGAAAGCACTTTCCAGGGGGCACCTTTGCTCGGGGAGACAGAACTTGGATCTTGTCAAGCCAATCCTCTCCAAACTTGGCAAGCAGGTAGAGGGGAGTCAGCTGGAGATCCGCTGTGAGTTTGGTTTCTCTAACTTGCGCATGATCCAGTCTATAACCTCCTGAACCCGCACCTGCAAAAAGAAAGCATGCAATTGACGGTATGAGCTCAGGACTAGCTGTAGTGTGAACCAAAGGAGCGGCGATGGCTTGCCTAGGTTGCTTTGCCATTTCTTAGGGCTTCATCAGGCCACTTTTCTTTAGTGATGGAGCTCAACCCAGCTCTGGCAAGATTCAAAATGACACGAAGTCTACAAGTATGTTCCAAGTAGCTATGGATCAGATTCGCACTACAGCTAGTCCTGAGCTCATGACGTCTATTGCATGCTTTCTTCTGGAAACTCTTCTCTGCACCATGAGCTGGTGACCACACCAATCTGAAGAGAGACTTGTACTTTTCAAGAACTATTAGGTCACTATTCAGCTGGTGCAGTTGTCATTTATGCATGGTGACAAAACTATTTGTTATGTGTATTAATTTTGGTTGTATAAGAAGACAGTAGTCTCTAGTGTGATTTGTACAGTGCGACAGATTATTCTGTTTATTTGTTTGTATAACTGCATTCGCTGTATTCCCATTTTTGTGTGTTTGTTGGCATAGCAGAAGGGGCAGCAAGCACTATGGCTGGAGGAGAAGTCAATTGGGAACTGGGGATTATTCATGCGGGTGGTCCCTTCATGTGCTCTCCCTCTGCCCTCATTTAGGTATCCAAAGTCTATGTATATGTGGGGTTGTGGACATATTTTTAATATTTTGTACTGTATTAGTGTTTTGTTTTGGTGATACGACTGTTAGCCGCCCTGAGCCTCCGGGGAGGGCGGGATAGAAATGTAAATAATAAAATAAATAAATAAAATAAAATAAATAAATAAAACAGTATTTAGGAAATAAGAGAGTAACAAACAAGGTAAATTTTATTGGCTACCAAAGAAGATAGGAAAGGTGACAGGGGAAGAATGCCAAGCAGATATACAAAATGTTAAAACACAGCACCTTAAAACAAGTCAATGACAGTAATTATCATGTCTGAATGTTTCTCCCTTGCAGCTGGTCCCAAGAGTCCCAGGAAGGAAAGAGAGAAACTGCAGGAAGAGAGGCAGAATGGGGGGGGGGGGACAGGCAGGCAGGCAGGGATCAAGAGAAAAGGGAGATGTGAGGGGAGGATATTGGTCTGTTGAGGTGGGGGAGAGGTTTGAATTCAGCAGAATGTGAGGCACCTGGGCAAGGTTGGATGGGCACAGTGAGGAGCAGGGATCTTGTGAGTTGAGCCACCAATGGGAGGCTGAGGAAGGGAGATTGCAGAGTGAGGAGAAGGGAGAGAGATGGCTTATGGGAAAGACAGGGCACTGGATCATATGTTACCAGGTATGGATTAGTATGCAGAGATGTCAGAGGTAAACTTGTGAATGAAGAGTTGGGGTGGCCGAGATTAACCTTCAGGTTCCTTCTAGATTTAAGATACTATGGAATGGAAACAAATTATACTGTGACTCATGGGCACCAAATGCATGTGCTATGTTCACAGTTCAGTTGTATGCACATTTGTTTGGAAGACAAGCTGAGTCTTTTCAATGGAGCTTCCTTTTTTCTTTTTTGTGGATATTTTGCCCAACCTTTTTTAAAGACAAAACCCCCAAAACGTTAAACTTTAAGGATTGATTTTAATTTAGTTCTTAGCTATTCCATCTCTCCCTGTAGTAGTCTTTAAAAGGCTGCTGTGATTAGCAGCTTAAAATAGGTTTACTATATTAGGTAATGTCGTGACTGTGTAGAAAAGCATGCAACTAATATTTTGGTTGTTGCATCAGTTGAATCCTGCATTATGTGGAGTTAATACATAACTGAGTCAACATTTTTCTGGGAATTTTTTTTTAAAAACATCCTTAAATGCTTGCTTTTATCAGATGCTCAGACTGCAAAACATACAAAGCATTGTTATGGCTGCAGATAGACCAGTACGTGATTGATATGTGCGCTCTGTGCTTTTGAAATTTTCTTACTGTAGCTTTAGGAGACCACCAAGGTCATCTGCCAAAAGTGCATTACAGAACTCTTGTGCCTGTCTATTATGTGAGGTCCTAAAAGGGCTAGGGTGGGTTTTTTGTTTTTTTTTTGGGGGGGGACACATTACTCAAATCCATAAGCCCACAGACTTGTCAGTGTTAAACTAGTATTCCATTCTGTGGGTACTCACATGCATCAGTGGAATGATCTCTGATCTCTTCATGTTCCCCCACAGGGCAAATTATTGGTGATGGACAAAATAAACCAAGTGTGGAGGGAAGTTTGAGAAGCACTGCACTAAGAGGTATGGGTTTGTACCGATAGAAAAGCATGACTACTCACTTTATGCTGCAGCTGATTATGTTCGTAAGCTAGTCTTAAATCCTCCCCTCCCCCTCCGTCCCCTTCTACTTGTGAAAAATATATGTCGTAGTTTGTCAGAAAACAGTGATGACTTGAAACGACTACTGATGAAGGTTAAAGCAGAAGGTGCCAAAGCCGGATTACAGCTGAGCGTCAAGAACACAAAATTAATGACTGCTGAAGAATTATCCAGTGTTAAGGTTGATGATGCCCTGACCTGGATAGCCCAGGTTCGTCAGATCTTGGAAGCTGAGCAGGATTGGCCCTGGCTAATATTTGGATGGGAAACCTCCAGTGAATTACCAGGGTTGTGATGCAGAGGCAGGCAATGGCAAACACCTCTGGATGTCTCTTGCCTTGAAGATCCTACAGGGTCACCATAAGTCAGCTGTGGCTTGATGACAACAACAAAAGATTGACGATGAAGAATTCAAAATTGTGAACAAATTTCCGCTCCTTGGCTCCATCATCGGTTCCAAGGGAGACTGCAACCAAGAAATCAGGAGGAGAGTGAAACTGGGAAGGGCAGTCATGAAGGAGCTAGAAAAGATTCTTCAGTGTAAAGATGTGTTGCTGGTGACCATAATCAAGATAATGCATACTACAGTATTCTCCCCTGTTACTATGTAGCAGTCATGAAGAAGGACAATGAAGAAAGCTGACAGGAGGAAAGTCAATCCATTTGAAATGTTGTCTGAATTCTCTCGCCTAGAAGCTAAACTAACTGAACTGAGGCTATTGTACTTAGGTCACATTACGGGAGGAAAAGACAATAATGCTAAGCAAAGTTGAAAGCGGCAGGAAAAGAGGAAGACCCAAGTCTGCTCAGCCCATCAGACCTCCAGTGGTCAGTCAGAAGCCCTCCTGGGCATAAGCAACATCTGGCCCCACCCACTTTCTAAAAACATTGGGTGGGAGCCAGGAAAGGTGTCAGTGAGCGCCATTCCTGCCACAAGCACCATGTTGGGGACCCCTGTCCTAGTCTGACGCTAACCACTGTACCACACTGGTGCTGATAAACCTAGGATAGAATCCCAGTAAGTGCTGCTCAGAGGGGTAGTAATGGCTGTCAGTTTTTCTTCCCTTTGCTGCACTGGAGGATGAGTGAAGAAAGTAAAGAGGACCTAAAGAGCCTCTTGCTCAGGGTAAAAGAGGAGAGCGCAAAGGTTGGCTTGAAACTCAACATCAAAAAAACTAAGATCATGGCATCCGGCCCCATCACTCCTTGGCAAATAGAAGGGGAAGTCATGGAAGCAGTGACAGACTTCACGTTCCTGGGATCCAAGATCACTGCAGACGGTGACTGCAGCCATGAAATTAAAAGATGCCTGCTCCTTGGGAGAAAAGCGATGGCAAACCTAGATAGCATATTAAAAAGTAGAGACATCACTCTTCCAACAAAAGTCCGTATGGTCAAAGCAATGGTGGTATTCCCAGTAGTACTGTATGGCTGTGAGAGTTGGACTATAAGGAAGGCCGAGTGCCAAAGAATAGATTCTTTTGAATTATGGTTCCGGAGAAGACTCTTGAGAGTCCCCTGGACTGAAATGAGATCAAATCAGTCAATCCTAAAAGAAATCAACCCTGACTGTTCCCTGGAAGGCCAGATACTGAAGCTCAAATACTTTGGCCACCAAATGAGAAGGGAGCACTCACTGGAGAAGACCCTGATGCTGGGGAAGATTGAAGGACAAAGAAGAAGGGGACGGCAAAGGATGAGATGTTTAGACAGTGTTGTCGAGGCAACGAACATGAAATAAACCAATCTCCGGAGCATGACGGAAGACAGGAGGGCCTGGCGTGATGTGGCCCATGGGGTGGTGAAGAGTTTGACTTGACTCTATGACTGAACAACAACAAGGATGAGTAGGGTCTCTGGAGCTATGGCTGATATGTAACTGGGGGGGGGAGTAGAGCATCTTTTGCTTATTCATTGGATTTTTGTACCCAAGCAGACTATACAATACAGCACTAAAACAAATGACCATGCAGATATGGGGTGGAATTTGGAATTACTTTAAGAAACTGACACTTCTTAGAAGTTATGTACTACTGTATAGTAGGTTTGGAGGGGGCACACCTAACCCTAATGCTCTGTTGTTAAAAAATTACGTGGGTGGAAATCGAAAGAGCCAAGAAGTTTACAGACAGACAATGATGAGAACTCAAGTGCTGATTTGGCATGAAAAACTTGGTTATGACATTGTTTGAGAGCGAACATATTTCAAGTGTCAGAAAAGAGTGAGAGTCCAGTTGCACTTTTAAAAAGTAACACAATTTGTGGCAGGGTGTGGGCTTTTGTGAGTCACTGCTCACTTCTTCAGTGTGTATCTTGTTGGGGAACAATTGTATAAGTACTCTGGCAGGAGCACAAAATTTTGTTTTCCTTTCAGACAAATTTTGGGCTGTCAGTGAGTCTGTTCTCTTCTCCCTTCCAAGACTCAATATTTGCAGTGTGGTAGTTTACAGCAATGCAGAATTCCAGTCTACAGAATATGAAAATGGTCACATGTGGTAATGTCTGCATTTTGACCATTCCTTTTAATCATATACTGCGGAAGTACTCTATGGTGAAAACTAGATAAGTGTAAATCACAAGAAGATTGATCAGTGCTGGTCACAAAATGGGGACACATACTATTGAAATTTGGGGGTATTAACCAGTTTTTTTAAATAGAGGTTTTGAACATCAATAGGAGAAAAATGAGTCTGAAAAAATAAACTTCCCCTTTCTAATAATTTAGCAGAAGTCTTAAAATGGGTCATATTCATGTAGTGTACTGGTAGCATAGTATATATTTAACTATGTAGATGACAAAAGAAACATTTCCCATAAAGTCTACAGTTCAGAGACGTGAATGCATATTAGAAGCTTTCCTGAAAGCCCTGTAAAGCAACATCTCCACCAAGTCTCAAAATGCTTCTCTCTCAAGGAAGACCAGCCTTGGTACACAGGGAGCCCTATTTGCATTGCTCTTGCCCTGTGTTTTTTGATGAATCAAGGAGCTCACTTGATTTATTTGTAATTGACTGTGAACTTGCCATCATTCGAACCCCAGAATGCATTACCATTCTGTGTACAATATAGCAATGAGGATTGCCTGTTAAAATGTCTGGCTGTAAACTAAAGTTTGAATGTTTGTTATTCCAATCAGGTGGGTGCTTTCTATGCAGTTATCACTGAGCTGCACCCTTAATCTGTGTCTCAGGCTAACCATGGATTTAACAGCACTCCATAGCCAACAAAAAGGTTTCATAGTAAAGTCAAAGCACGCTGCAAAAAGAGAGAACAAGCCAGGCCAAGACAGTTTCCCAACCAGCTTGGGACCATCATGCCATTTCTTGTTTAGCCTCATGTTAAATAGAACATAAACACAGAAAATCACCTTATTAATTGATTTGAATATTACAATTTATAATACCACAATTCATAAACAGGGCAAAATTCACCAGGAATTTTGCTCCGTGGTTCAGTTTGTGTCCATCCCTAGTCTTCTCTGTTTCCAGTCCCACAGTAAACTTTAACTCCAACTGGCAACATTGGAGCCAGTTTTAACTTTGTAATGTGCATGGCCCACCTTCTGCCTGTTTCTCGGGACTTCCCAGTGTGTATTGATTTAACAGTAATTATTCCTTTCTAGGAAACTTGGACGATTTCATTTCTCTAATGGGATGGGTTTTAAAGCTGGGAGGAATTCTCTCTTATTTCTTTCTTGAACGCATGTTGTGGTGGCCTGATGCAACCCATGTTAGGTCAGGCTGGAATCCATTAGTGGGTTCTGATTTGCTAGCTGAGGACCAATGGGTGAACAGGGAGGGCAGATAGGGAGGAACACTGCTGTTTGTTGCTACGTTTTAGCTGAGCTTGTTCGATCTTTCTGCTTCAGCTGTCTGTCTGTCTATCCCATCCCATCCCATCTAATGTGGCTCTAGCTGAAGGAAGGGCTCTTGGTCCTTGGATTCTGGCCTGTTGGATTCTGTATATATATACATACAGGATATAGTTTATTCTTGTTTTGTTTTTGCACATTTACATTGTATATCTGTATTGGAACTTATTTGCTGTAAGGGAGAAAAGTGGCCATTTAATTTACTGGCTAATATTCTGGCTGTTTTATGCTAAATTTTGTCAAGTTTTTGTTGTAGCACTTGAAACCTTAAATAGATGAAATGTTAGGGGGGGGGAAATCATATTTTGAACAAAATTTGAGTCTAGTAGCACTTCAGAGATCAACAAAATTTTCCAGGGTTTAAGCTTTCATGGTTCAAAGCTCACTTTGTCAGTGTTTTGACTCAAGAAATCTTATAGCATGGAAAATTTTGTTGGTCTTTATGGTGTTACTGGACTCGAATTTTGTTCTGCGACATACTAACACAGCTAGCTACGTGATAGTATTTTAAAAACTCATTCTGTTTCTTAGAAAGCAGGTGCTGTCATGCTGTTATGTTAGTACATTACGGTAAATACTTGTAAAGGATATGTTTGAATAAGATCTTAATTGTTAAGGTTTTTGTTCTACTTTTCAAACCAGAATCTGCTCCTAGAGCAGGAAATGGAAAACAAAATCTTAATATGAAAGATTAAATCTAGTATATGCTGTTCCTCTGGCAGGTATTCTCTGCTGAGCTGGTTAAGTGGGAGGGTACCTGTCAACTTTCTGCCCTCCCTCTGGCCCTGTTGATAAAATGTAAATGACATACGCATTTCACAAATAATAGTAAAATAGTGGTTTAAATGTGTGAGGCAATCACCTGTCTTTCAGCTTGTGTCTGTAACATAGGAAGGCTAATGCTGGCCTACCTTATAGGAATGATGTAAGAGTTGTTATGTATGTAAAGCTGCTTAAGTACACAAAAGCATTATATAGAAAATGCTAACTTTTGACATGTCCCAAGTATTCATGGCTTCTTGTTCTTTTAATGATATAGAGCATCCTGTCC